GGTTTTGCCTTTTCTCATATTTATTCCTTTCCCTTCTTTTCTTTCTCCTTCCTCTCTGGACCTTTTCTTCCTATTTCATATTATCTATTATACATTTTGATCCTCATTTACAAGTTCAGTTTCTCACACCAGAGAAACTATTTGGTATTTACACAAGTGTGTCCTATTTATTTCACTTAAGAGTATGGCCTCAATGTGCATCCATTTAGCTATAAATGTCTCTAGTTTTCTCATTCTTTATGGCTGAGTAGTACCCATGTTTATAGTGGTACAGTTTATAATAGCTAAAATTTGGAAACAGCCTAATTGCCCATCAACTGATGACTGGATCAAGAAGATTTTTTTTTTTATAAATTGGAATTTACTCTTTAACTCTACAATTATGAGGCTGTAGCTCTCACTGTTACTTTCATTTTTGGGAAGTGATTTTAGTATAGGAAAATGGGCTAGATAATTCACTGCCAAATTTGTTTCCCCAAGATAGAACTTCGTTAAAAATGAGAAGATGAAATCATACTGTTCTGTCACTATTTCTAATTGTTCTTGCCAATAAAAATATTCCAAGTGTTTAGTTGACCTCTAGTTTTAAATGACAGAGCTAAGATAGTTCAAATTTCTCTCAGAAACCACCCCAAAATGATGACCACACCATTCAAACCCCTTCCTTGTGATCCAAATCTCATGTTCAACTAGAGTATTTCTGTAACTGCAAACTATAAGACACAGGAAAAGATGTTCAATTCAGTAAGTGACCATGGGTGCAGTCACTAAGATGGTGGCTGTAGGAAGCTAGAAGAAGACAGCAATGGGCACACATTGCAAAGAGGAACTAGTTACTCATAGCAAGGCCATGGCGTGAGGTAAAACCACAACAGTGTTTGTAATACTACAACACATTGTATAGCTGGTGGCAAGAAGTGGCCTGGACCCCATTTGACATCAGGTTTGACTGAGGGACAGCACATGCAATGGACCTGCCTCAGCCTGCAGGAAGTGCTTTACCAGCAAGGCAGGCAGCAGTGGGGAATTCTGCACTGTTAGTAGGCCAGGTGCTGCTGTCTGCTGTCTGCGAGAAGAGCTCCTTTGCACATGTAACACTGAAATGGGCTAGGTTTTGCAAGCCTGGACACAGCCTGGGCTTGTCTTTCTCACAACCTCTAGAATATTTCCAGCTCAGGGAGAATTCATTGAACACAGTGAAGAACAATAATTTAAAAAGAACTGGCATATGATGTATGTCAAGTTAATACTGTACAAAGTTCAACAAAGAAAACAGTAGTGGATGAAAGATGCTCATAAGAAAAAAGACTGCATGATAAATATGACCAAATAGATCACCACAAAATTTTAAAAACATACACCAAAGCCATCATTCTATAAAACTAGAGATCAAAGCAGAAATATAAGAACTCAGGGGAAATCGGGCAGGCTAATGAGAGGAGATGAAATAAGAGCATGCAGAGATCAGAGATAAATTAAAGGAAAAATAAAACTGTACCGATGGGGAAGATACTGTTGCATCTCATGCTCTGTGTTGCTCCCTGAATGCAGTGAGTTCTACTGTCTAACTACATTTAAATAAAGCTGGGCTCTGTACAGGTTGGTGTCTTTTATCAATTTTTGTCCTCCTTACAAAACCCACAAGAAAACATGGAAATTAATTACACTTTCAATTCAAATAAAAAAGAAACAAAATCTAAAAGAAACTGAGTAAAAGAATTAAGCTTAAGGGCAAATTTTATGTAAAAAGATCCAGAATGGAATTAATAAATGGAACTAGAATTTTTTTTTTTGGAAAAGCCCTAAAACTATTACCAATTCAATCATAGAAAATAATAATAATACAAATTTACCAATTAAGAAAAAATTTTGGAGATGTAATTTTAGAAGTTGAGAAGATAAAAAGAGTTAAACAAGACATTACTTAATTATATACAAATATATTTATAAAATTGAATAAAAACAGAGATCTTTTTTTGAGAGAACAGAAATGATCTAAATGACCCCCAAAGAGAGAAGAATCAGAATCATAACTACCAGTGTTGAGAGGCCAGAATTACAGAGAACACAAGAGGTAACTGTCCATGAGGATGGCAGAGCCCAAGCACCACCCATTTGTCAGTCTCTTCTTGGACTGACCTCTTCTCCATTCAAGTAGAGCAATCCATGTCTTCTCATGGTTAGCAGAAGGAATAGATAAGACCCAAGGGACCAAAAGCATAAGATCTGGATAAGGCAGAAGGACATAAGGTAGTAAGGAGTAAGAGAATGGGGAGGGGAAGAAGTTGTCCCAGAGGCCAGCTAGGAAACATTTGCATCTTATAGCTACACAACAATATCTAAGATCATCCCTAAACACAGTTCTTCTTTACCCATCAGCTTTGATCCAGTCATTCTAATTCTATTTTCATTAGCTAAGTAATACTCAGCACTGCTGGTAGTTGTTTGCTTGTCAGCTGACTGACCTTTTAGCTAGGTAACTTCTTCTATGAGAACAGTGGCTCTGGATCTGTGGTCCAACAGTGTTGACCTTATATTGTGCCAGTTATTACATATTTGATGAGTAAAGTGAAGAAGTTTGACATTCTAGAGAAGCAGCAAGAACTACAAGGAATATGCCTGCAGAGACATTGATTCTTGGCCCAAAGAGGCCCATGTGCATCATGGAGGTGCATTATCCTACTGGGAATGGGCAACTGTAGCACACATAAAGAAAGTAGTGAGGATGTGCAGATCTTCCTGGGACAGAAGACAGAGCTTCTGAGAGTTGGCTGAGGACATAAGCTATATCCCTTCACATCATATTTAATAAGCGGATAAAAAGGTAATGCCTCACTTCTAAAAAATCAACTATACACAGAATCTGGAGAGATCTGTTTTAACTTTGTATTACCAGTAAAAAAAAAAAGTAAGATAGACTGTGAGATACTGGTAAACAGTAAGGTCAAAATGATGACTATGATCCTTATGTTAACATAGGCTGTGTTGATAGGTTCTACTATGTTCAAGGAGGAAGGTGGCAGCGTTTCTGTGTTCTAGGCTGTCAGAATATTGTGTGACTTTGTTTTCTGAGCGCTCTTGTTTAGTAGTTATAGAGTTACATTCAAAGAGAATCAACTCATTTTCAGAAGAGAATCCCACAGGATGATAAAGATACCAAAAAATGTAGGTTAGAAAGGAACAATGGAAAGAACTGAGGCTATTTTGCTTAGAGAAAGAAAGACTCAAAAGGGAAATGAAAGCTGTCTTCAAACATCTGAAGGGCTGTCAAGTGTCAGCTTCAGTCTGGTTCTGAATCGCCTTGAGGGTAAAAGCAGGGCTAATAGGCAGAAGCTCTGGGCAGATAGATTTAAGCTCAATACAGGTGAGAACTTTTGAGCTGTCAGAGCGATGTGGCAATGGAGGCCTGTCTCCGTAGCTAGAGAGAAACCTGTCACCTCAGGCACTCACTTCCGGCTTGCTCGTATGTAGCGAGGCAGGGTACAACTCCAGGGGCTGTACTGGCTATCAGCCTGGCTGACTTCTACATCCTCCCCTCACACTGCAAGCCTTGATCAACACTGGCCTTCAATTCAGGGCTGTTACAAGAGTCACCGGAGATTACTTATATGAAAGTGCTTACTAAACTCAGATGTGTTTTACAAACACAAGAGACTGTTACGGTTTTTTTTTTTCACTTTGGAGAACTTCCCTTCTGTCCCATCTCTATCTCTACTTACCTCTTAGCTTCATCAGTCTCATGAAGATTTCTAATTTGTAAATGCCAAATATAATATTATTATAACTACTATTCAAATTTTTGAAATGCTTCATACATAATACATGGTTCTTCATCTTTTACTAATAAGGGCCTATTTTAGTATGCTAATCATGCTCTTGCTCCTATGGAGTAAAGGGCTGGAAGAGCTAAGTTCTTATGTGTCACTGTAGGGGGCAGAATCCATTAATATTAATAGCATCCTCACAAAAATTTTGTGTGTAACCAAAATGTCTCCACATTAATAAAGAGACAATAAACAAACATTAATTCAAATTAATGCATCTGCTTTGATAGTATTTGACTTGTGTCCTTTCTCCAGTGTCCTTTGCGGCCTATCAATTTTCAGGCAATGAAAATGTCAGTCTTTGGGCGGCAGAGCTAACTTGTCATAAGGCATTATGACCTGGAAAAATTAATTGCCAGAAAAATGAAAGCCCCAGTTCTCTTTTAGGTGTTCAAAATATTTTTTCCATCAAACTCCAGTATCAACTCTAATAGGTAATAAAATGACATTTCTGAGATATCTTTTCCTTTCCATTTTTTTTCTACATCACAGGACATAACAGTGACAGAACGAAGGCAGACAGAGAGAAGAAAACTAGGAAAACCAGGATGGGAACAAACTGGATTCAGTGTCTCCTAAAAGTACAGTTAACAGCTCCAAAGCAACCCTCACACCCAAACATATGTTCTCCAAGCTGTTTGTTTATGTATTCTAGTTTTTATTGACAGTCAAAATGACATGAAGAAAAACCTTGTATACACATTCATGTACTGTGGTTACAGTTCTCTAATAATGAGAACGAAGGTCAACCTCTTCAAGTTTCACTATAGAGACAGGAGTGGGTAAAAATAAATGGGGCCACAAATCATTAGCTAATCCCTCAAGCCTCAGATCTCCCTAATCAATTTTGTGAAAAACTTGCTGAAAAATAAGATGATGGGACTTGTCTCCAGTGTATGGTTGGCCCGGTTGGCCCCATACCAATTGAAGCTTAAAGACAAGAGCAGCATTGAAAACTTGGCCATCAGGAAGATCCAACAGTGGCCTGTGAGTGTTTTGACTTTTCACCACTGAGAAGCAGGAAATGCAAGGTCAGCCAAGTGAAGGGTTTCAATATGCTCAGTGCGGTGGCGTTGAAACAGACACAGCTTAAATAAAAACATTCTCCTCATGAATGAGGGGGTGAACCTTTGAGAAACATGAGGTTCAACTATGTTTTCTAAAGTGGGGACATACCTTGATTCCCATAGCTTGCCTCTATTCCGGAGCCATCCCACGAGTCCACTGCACTGTCCACGCTGGGCACTGTGGAGGGATACATGTCGGAGAGCTTGCCTGGCTTCTGTGCCAGAGATGAGTCCTCTTCCACATCTCCCAGGTCACTCAAGTGGCTGGGGATGGGGAACTTCTTGGGACTTGATGCTGACTGGGCTTTACAGACAGGAAAGGAGGTTAAGTATCAGAGTAAACTGAAATAAAAAGATACTCAACTATTCTGTGGCAGGAGACTCATTTCCTTAGAAACATGCATGTAGACAATAGCACATCCTTTTGGTCAAGGACACACACTGACAGTACTTAACTGAGGCTCTTGACCCACTCACCATCTGTCTGTTTCTTAATTTTCAAGGTGACAGTCTCTCCTGCCATCTGTAACAAATGGATGGCTTCACTCAGAGGCTTCCCTTTCAAGCTGCTGCTGTTAATGGCTAGGATTCGATCTCCTATGTGGATTGCGCCAGTTCTGAAAAACCAAATAGGAACAGGAAAGCAGGATCAATTCCCTGACATACTTTACATATTCATAACAATAAAGACTTGGCAAGCATCTCTACAAGTCACTTCTAGCTTTCTCCTGGGCAATGTTATAAGATAACTACATCTGTTGTGAACTACTTTTTAATTTCAAATAAAATTAGAAAAATTGTCTTAATTAGTTTTTAAAATGGACTTGGGTATTTTTTAAATTGCAAGTAAGTGGAGTCATTTGGTAACCCTCTTAAAAGTCCAAAGGAAATGAACTGTGATGACCAACCAATATCAAGGAACATTCCTTCAATAGGCTTAAAATGTTGAACACAATCAGTATCCAGCTCACCAGAAGTGAGGTTCAGGGAGATGAGGGTGTACCCCAGACCCTGGTGCAGGGTGTCTCCTGTTGATGATCATTCCAGGGACTAGAAAATGATGAACATAAGGATCAATCAGTGCTATTTTAAAATCCATCTCTGCCACCTACCAGCTGTGTGACCTGGGTACCTTTATTTTAACTTCTGGATGTCAATTTCTCTTCATTACAATGGGGAAAATCACAGGGAAGTCCTAAGAATTAAATAGGAACACATATATAAAGGGCTTGACATACCATAGGCTTTCCCCCTTCTCTTCCCATCCAATCTGAACTAGTACACTGGTATTTACAGTTCTGCTGTTTACTGGATCTGTCTTCAGTGGGAAGCACTGGATGGGCAAGGAGTCAATCCACAGCAGAGCAGCTCAGGGTGGTATGAAAACTCAGGTGTACATCCTGGATGAAGGCTATAGAGTTGGAATTCCATGCACCAGCTGCTGGTTCAACTGGGTCGCTTTAAATCCAGTGGGTAAAGGAATTTACCCAACCCACAGGACTACTGATGACTACTGTGACTACAGCTTGTGTCTGGGACAATGGCAGCTGTGCTGAGCTGAGTAACTGGGCAACAGAGGTGACTCAGTGGCATACACTTTGGGAGAGGCTGCTTAGCAAGTCTGCCATTGGATCTACTATTAAGGGCCTCCCATAAATTGTTTCATTCTTTCATAGTCTTAGTTTATAAAAGATCTAGGTTGTAAGTCATAAACACTTCACTGAATTAGATCAATATTAATCTGTCATATAACAGATATTTAGGACCAAAGGACACCTGAAGAATATGCTATCCTAGATGTCTTTGCTAATATGAGAATGTCAAATTCCAGCAGAGTAATATTTTCTGAGTTATCTTAGTCCCCTTTCCCTTTAGATGATGATACTGGATAAGTTGAATTTTAAGGTACAAGGGATTTGAATGTCTTTATAAGGTGTGGTAAAAAAACAAGAGTGAATATTGACTGCCATCCAACAAAAAGGGAGGCTTGTAAAATCATTATGTCATGTCCTCATCCACCTTATTCACTAGATCAGGCACTGTGAGAATTCTGGCTCTTCCTCAAAGCAAAGTGACCATGAAAGATAAATGTTTTGAAGTGACTCAGGACATCAAAGCAGCCAAGAGGGTACAACTAAAGACACTCACAAAGGAGGACTTCCAGAACTGCTTCAGAAGGTGGCAAGAATGATGGGATAAGTACATTCAAATTGAAGGGGAAGATTTTGAGGGGGATTCACGTGAATGTGTCTTTTATTGTAGTACATTTAAATAAAAAAGCATTCACTGTAGTTTTCAATCACAGTTTGCACCTTGCAATTTTTGAATACTATGTCTCTATTTTGCAAACCACTGTCTTCAAATGTCAGTGTGAATGATGCAATTGCATTCTTTTTTTTTTATGGAAGAGATTCTTTTATTATACAGGTGCTTCAGAGACAACCAAACTCCATCTGTAGTCTCTTATTCCACAGGAACCAGGGCTTGGGGTGGGGAAAGCGGTGAGATCAGTGGATTAATCACCAGCACTGTTATCATCATTGCCAGAAAGGTCGAGGACAGACACCATGGAATCAGAGGGCTTGCTGGCAATTTTATCTGTATGGTTCTGCATCTTCTTCTTATTTTTCAGGTCGGATGCCAGAACCTGGCCCTGTTGCAGAGGGTATGTCTCTATAATCCTCTGCAGAACTGGATGGCAGTCCACTGAGCTGACCTCTCCAACACTACTGTTCTTGGAGTGGTGGTGGTCCACATTGCATTTAGCCCACCCCACCTGATAACGGTTTGGATTGGTGCGATACCCTGTAAAGTCTCCACTCTGATATATGGTGGTTTTATTTTCAATGGCATCTGCTATTTTCATCACTGGAGAATGCAGCCTCTTGATCTCCATTACAAGTGGGTCTGTGTCACCTAACAGCTCCTCAGACTCTCCTGTGGCCAAGCATTCCATGGCATCTTCATTGGCCTGCTCAGTATCCTCAATGTCAAAGACCTCAGTCATCTCCTTAACAATCTCAGCACTGAGATGGGTAGGCAGAGTGTGTGTAGGTGGTGGTGGTATATAGAAGCTATGATCTTCCCACTCACCCAGTCAGCCAAGACAGCTTCAGCAGCCTGCTCCTGACTATACAAGCCTCCCTTTTTCTTCTTCCCCAAGCGGTGGGCCACTGCAGTCAGAAACTGCTCAATGGTCTGGAACCCAGACACACCATAATAGTTGGAAATCTCCAGATTGCAGCGCTGCAAAATAGTCTCCACTAGGGTCATAGGGTCTGCTAGCTTCTGAACATGGTTGCAGTTGCGCAGGATGGTGCCCACCTCTGAGTTGGGTCCTGGGACAATGCCTGGGGCATCCGGCAGCCTGATAAACTTGTCCAAGTAGACCTCCTGCATGAATTTGGTGATCCCAGGAACAGCTCCCACACTGCATGCATGGCCACGCTTCAGGCTATTGATCAAGCTACTCTTCCTAACATTGGGAAGTCCCACAACACCCACACAAATGTGGGTACACACTTCACCCAGGCGGCAATAGTTTCCCAGAACCCTCATGAGGTTTTCAGCTCCAAAGCAGGATTTGCTTTTCAGTAGTGATTCAGGGGCCTGGTCCACTGGGACACTACACCGATTCAAGTTTTTGACCTGATGCTGGGTGATGGCCTTGAAAGCCACAGTTAGCAGCTCATTCCTAAGGTAATCTAGCCATTTCTCCACAACCTCCTTGGGAACAAGGTCAATTTTGTTCAAAACCAGGACCAGCTTCTTATTGCCTTTTGCCTGAAAAAGAGCCTCTTCCATTTGGAAACATCAGCAGCCCAATGGGTCTCTGGCATCCAGGACTTCCAGAATCACATCAGAGTATTCTACCACTTTGCGAAACTCCCTGTAATAAGCCTTTCTTGTGCCCTCGTCATCCAACTGAGGAAACATATTTAATTCCTGCAAAACTTCCTCGTGTTCAAACTCCTCCTGGCGTTTCAGGACATCCTGACAGTAGCTCTCAATGGTCCTGTGTTTATGTCTCTCTTGCTCTCGCTTGCTGCTTCTCCCTTATCTCCTCAATCCTCTTCTTTAATGCCACGTCCCGGCTGGTGTGATCATTGCAGTGAACAAAACGGGAAGTGGAAGATACTCTGGCGGTTGCTTTCTTTCCATTTTGCTTTGTAGGCTTCTTGCAGCCTTTGGAACCTTTACCTGGGTTTTTATTTTTGTGTCTAAACTTCATCATGATGATCAACCAGCTTGGAAACAGGTAAGTTCAAATATGCCCACTTTCTTCCTACACCCTCAGCGGAGATCTGAGAGGAGAGAGTAGTGTAATGGCGGAAGAGAGGCACGCGAGTCCCTAGGCTCAGACTTCCGGATCCCAGCCTCGCGGCAGGCACAAGGCTCCGCCTACTGTGCTTCCTCTTTGGGGCTGGGCTTCGCTTTGTAATTGCATTCTTGAGCTAGGTCATTGGAGAAAAGATCTGGTTATAGGATTTGTTATGTGAGCAACAGCATATCTCAGACAGAAATACAGTTCAGTGGAAGGTGAGAATGGGTGGAGTGTGTGTATCATCCACACAAGTATTGTTAAGGGTGCTCATTACACTTTGCTTCCCATAATCTTTGAAGACAAAGCCTGTGTTATCCTCTTCTAAAAATACGGTAGCTAAGCACAGCATCTGCCAGGTGGTTCAGAGGTTCAGCAAATGTTTGCAGAATTGAATCAGACAAGCCATTTAACTTCCCTGAATTTTAGTCTGCTCTTCTCAAAATGGGCACAATATAAATCTACTTCTAGTCAACTGTCAACTGTGGTCAGTTTATACATTTCTAGAGAGTAATATCAATGTTAAACACATGGCATCTTTTATTGCCTGTAAGATGCTCCTCAGAGTCAAGGTGGAGTTGTTTTTTTTTTAAAGTTTTATCATTTATTTATTTATTTTCTTTCTTTTGGTACCAGGGATCGAACTCAGGACCTTGCACTTGCAAGGCAGGCAGTGGCACCACTAAGCTAAATCACCGGCCCCTTCAAGTTGGAGTTTTGTCTTAGAGTTCTCAGGCTATACAATCAGTCCTTTGAACAGATTTAAAAGTTAATAGATAAGGAAACAGGAGATGGAGGTATGTTCTTACATGGCTATGAAGAAGAGAGCACCTCTCAGACACAGGTAATTATAGCAGTTTCTTCAAATTTTACCTTTCAGCTAATCCCCCTTTAGTGAGGCTTGAAATGATTATTGGATCAAATGGTTCTTCAGTTCCTGAAATTGTGATGCCAAGAGGTCCCCCATAGCGCTTCAGCTCCACAGTGTAAATAATTGCTCCAGAACTTTCTTGCTCATCTGTAATAAATGCCAGAGAGTCACAACCAATTTCTTTGGAAGAAGCAAAATAATAAGTTCACATATACAGTAAGAAATTCACCTGTTTTATGATATGTAGTACTGACCATGCTTTATCAGAGCTGTTTTTAATGATGTTACTCTAGAATGTTTTCTTTCCAGATGATGATTAAGAAGCTAATAAAAAAAATGGTGCCAGGTACCACAACAGTAACAGAACTTTGCTGTTTTCTGGGTATTTTTCTTTTCTTTTCTTTCTTTTCCTTTCTTTCTTTCTTTCTTTCTTTCTTTCTTTCTTTCTTTCTTTCTTTCTTTCTTTCTTTCTTTCTTTAAATGGAGTGTGCTGAATATCTATAATTTTGTTCAGATGACTGCAGAATCTGGAAAAGCTGTTGCTGCTATTGATGTATAACATACTGCTATTATTGGTCTTTTTATGTAAATATAAAAATATACATATATGTATATATACATAAAATTTGAATTTTTGGAAACTTTAACTGTGCTGTCAACTTTGGAAAAAGTTATCCCAGTTTACTGTGTTGAGTTTGGCACTGTTCAGAAATTAACATCCATATTGATCTAGAAATGTTAAACTTAATTTTTTTTTCATTTGTACAGGGGTAATGTACTGCATTGAATATGTAAGGGCTTATCTACTTGGGTTTGATTACAGAAACTAATAAAGTATTCTGTAAATAAAAAAAATTCAAAACATCGCTATCACCATCACAGAAATTTTATGTCTCAGAAATAAATATTTTGGGTAAGTGGCATTTCCTTAATAGGCTCTTATATTCTCACAGACGGGTAGAGTCATCAATGCCAGGGAAGGAGGGTGCTGCCTAATAACGTGTGTTTTAAAGCTCTGCATTAACCACCCAGCTGGAGCTGCAGGACTTTTAGACTAGTCCATGCCTAGTGCAGTGCTTGGCTAGCATTTTGATAATATGTGATAAATACCTGTGGAATAAGCACATGGCTGAATAGGTAATAAGGGAGGAGAGAGTCACTCAGTATCAAAGGGGAAACTGGGCTTTGGAATTTGCATTTTTAGGCTTTACCCATAAAATAACTTTTACTATAGGAAAGCTGATTTTGCTCAGGCTTGGTTCAAATGATGACACATGGTTATGTGATACTTAGAGAAATTAGCATGAAGACAATAGCAGGAAACCTAGAATCCTTTACATATCGTTCCTCTACTGATAGTGTCTTCAAATGGGAGCCCTACTTCTGACTTCTGGGGTATTAAGACAGGGTTGAATGATTATCTTTCCTCTGGTCTTGAGAATAAGAGTCACTGTAAGCTATGTAGCATATACCAGGCTGCCACACTGTCATGTACTGATGTTGGCTATTTCACATTAGTACAAAAGAAGACATTTTTGAATGTAGTCTACCTCAATGATTGGCCAGAAAGATGTTATCTACCACCTTCAGCATGATGGGTGCTGTGACTGAGTCAGGGTTGTATTATGAAGTCTCTGAATTAGAAGGATTATATTTGCTTCTGGCAGGATTAAAATTCCTGAGCATTTCTTGTTTTATTCCCTGGCTCAGAGCTGTGAATGGTTAAGGAGCTGTTTCATTTCTGCACCTCAGGGTACAATGAAATGGTCCAGTAGCTACTTTAAGAAAACAGCTTTTACAGTCAGACTATATCATAGTGAAACATTAACAAAGCCACATTTTTTTGCAATAAGCAGCTGTTCATTTATGATATGAAACCCTAAAATAAAGCAAAGAAAAGTTTAACAATTCAATTATCTGTGTGTGCAGTAAAGAATTAGGGTGGATATAAAATGAAAGGTCCATACAGAAATGTGGAAAGCATTTACTTTCCTTCTGGGCATAGGTTGGGAGTCCTGGAATGCAGTTATCACCTCTACTTCCCGATTGCCCTACTCTTCACAAGCTCCATACATTGATAATTACAGACCACACACTGCAATGGTTAAATCAACATCTTAGGGCATAAAAATCTTCAATATTAGATTCCAAATTATATTAGCAACTGAGAATCCTCCACATGGAACCTAACATAGCTCTGATAATCCACAAATTTCTTCCAGCTTGCTGGCTACGGGCTACATGGCCAATAGGCTGGCCGCAGTTTGCTCAGGGCACCCCTGAAGCATCTGGATTCAGGGTAATCAAATAATGATCAAAGGCTATATTTTTCTACAGTAGAACATTTGGTCATGCCTCAGAGTTGGCTTTGATCTAAATGAATAGGGTATTATTGGATAGATTATGGGTACTTTAAAGCCTGTGTCAATAGCTGTATTCTGGATAAAATTTTGGATTAGTGTCTAGTAACCCTTGGCATACTTAATATTAGCTATTGCTGGGTCCTCCGCTGGCCATTCTATGTGGGTGTGTATGCCATCGGGAGGACCTCGATCCTTTAATGCACTCCATCTAAGGTAAGTATGAGCACAAACTTGTCAGTGGGCACCAGGTGTTCTGAATTTGGGTATCAGCTTTTTATGGGATTTGGGGGAAATAAAAATTGCCCAGTACTTCAAGACCTAGGAATATGTGGGAAGTTTCAGTTGAAACTTTATTCCAGAAAAAACAAACACTGGTCATGGGAAGGCGAACTTGGCTGCAGTCCCACTTGCTGGGAGAAAGGTGAGACCTGTTTCTGGTTAACTAGCTCATTCTTCAGTCAACCCAGAGTGAGCACTCTGTTAGTTGGGGGGGAATTCTGTACCTTGCATCACAAAAATGACAAAACAACACTAGAGATGGACTGGAGGGATTTAGGACTGTCAGTCACAGGCCACCTTATGTGGGAACAGTTTTTATTAGGCATCTAAGGAACCACTCCAACTAGAAGGCAATTGTTAGGCCCTCAGTTAGTTAAGATAGTGGTACAGAGGTAAATCAAGAAGAGGGCAGCACGTTAAGGAAGAATGAAACATTCTTGTGACTAGATGGGGCGGACCCTGGATAAAGTGGTGCTGCATTTAGATTAGGCCAGATATGAAGCTGATTTCCAATTTCTTCAACAAATAAATTGCCAGAAACAAAAATGAAGAAAGGGGAGATTTAAGAGACATTATAATCAAAAGAAAAATAGGTCTTTTGGGATCTTAATTTAAACTAGCTTTTTCTTTTAAATAAAGTGCACACATTTTCTTCCTCATTTGTTTAGATGTACATATATATGAAAATCAGAATCACATTTCTGGGAAATGTGAAGTCTAATATTTGATGATGTAATTATTGCTAATATTTTCAAATGTGATGATGTTATTTAGTTATGTGTTTAAAAAGAGTATCTTTTAGGGACTTATTATATTATTAATATTTATAAGAAGCAACAGGATACCTGTAATTTCTGGTAGAATGGAGAAAGTAGACTGAGCCTATAAATAAGACTGGTCATCAGTTAATAATTGTTGGCCCTGGGTGTTACATGATTCACTACAGTATTTTTTTCTCCTTTTGCACAGACTTGAAATTTCATGTTTTTTAAAAAAATAATATTAATCCTCTCAAAAAAGCATATGTGGATTCCTTGAATAAACAGATATTTAAGCAGTCCGGTTTCCTTCTTTAAGCTGGTGATGGTGGTGATGGCTGCCTGACCAGGGTCTCATGTACACCATCTGCCCATCTGGCTTCAAGGCAAGGTTCCCAGGCTTTCCCGCACTTCTCACTGCCACTGGCTCTCGAGGAGGCCCAGTCTTGGCTCTATCCAGTTTTTCATAGCAAGGATTTCCTTCCACATGATTCTCCTAATTGTGATTCAGCCATTGCCCTTTCCCCACGTCTGTTTTCACCAGTGATACCAACACACAATTCCATTTCTTTTCTTCCCAGAATATTTTAAAAGCATAAACAAGAATACGTTACTGGCTTCTTTTTTTTTTTACTTTCATCTTAAAGATTTTTATCTGCTCCTCAGTTCTTTAAGAATGAAACACAACCTCTTTGCAAGAGCTGAGTGGGAGCCTCTTCTCTCTCCAGTCACACCATCCTTTCTTGGCCCAATCCAATCTCCTAATTTTCTCATAACAGAATCACTGCAGTTCTTTCCAGAGCACATTTCTTAACATTTTCAATCTTTGCACATGCTGCTCCCACGGACAGACATCTTTCTTCTATTTGTTTTCCTGGAGAATTTCTCCTCTTTCTACAAAACTTGGCTCAGATGTATTTCAGGGCACATTTCTGCTCAGTTGGGTCTAGGTGCCTTTCCCGTGATGCCTGACAGCTCCTGTGCATTCTTTTAATGTTTCTCAACTTTTAATTTTCATTCTTGCCCCCCCCACCCCGACCAAGAAGAAAAGTTAAATTTAAGTTCTCCTGGATGAGAGGAATTAAATTTTAAGGAGTAAGATTGACTTAGTAGGGTTGAGATTCAGAGGGCCACAACAAACCGTCAGCATGGAATATTTAGGATTCTTTGCTCCCGAGAACCAGTTTCTGCCCTCGTTGAGAATGCGTGTTCAACATATACTTTTCACTCCTTTGCTTTTTGCAGTACTGGAGAGTGAATTGAACTCAGGGTCTTTACACTGAGCTCATCCTCAGGCCCTTTTTATTTTGAAACAGGGTCTTGCTAAAGAGCTCAGTTGTCCATGCTTGGGTCAAATTCACAATTCGCCTGTGTTGGCCTCCCAAAGTGCTGAGATTACAAGTTCCAGCTTTTGCTCTGTATTTAATGATCTCTTTTCTTGTGTCTTTCATGAGAATAGGATTATCTTGAAAACGGATTTTTACCTTCATATCCTAATAGCCAAGAACTATGTCTGGCAGCAGAGATATCAGTACATGCTTGAGATTAGTGGAAGGATGAATGTTAATGTGCAGTCTGGCCACCAGCAAGAGATCTGGAGGGGAGTTCTGTGAGTCAACTCCCCTGCTATGCCAAGGTCTAGTGGTCTTCTCCAAGACAGGTAATACAAAGCCAATCTGGCTCACTGAAAGTGAAACTAAGACCTGGGTTGCCATTGCAGGGACCAATAAACCTAGAATTTCTTCCC